AAAGTCTTAATACTTTTATTAAAACAACTTGAAGTATAACTTCAAGAGTTGCTTCTACCCTTTTCCTTTTATTTATAAACCTTTTTACTCAAAAACTTGACTTCTAGTAATCAAGAAAAATTAAGTAATACTTTTGATATCAATGGCAAGAAATTTCTCAAAAGAAGAAAAACTAATTATGAAATACCTGAAGGTCTATTTAATCTTTGAAGCAAGAAATATATAGAAGTTTTTTATAATATAAAGGCTTATTTTTCCTTTCCAGTTACTTGTGGGTCTCTTAAAGCTATCACTTTTATAGTTTTCTAAGAAATTTTGTCTATCTCAGTTTGACCCTGAATTTTTGGTAATACAAATCTTCACCAAAGGTAATTGGCTAACATGAAACACATTAGTTTTTGAAATATAAACAAGCTTCTATTGGTTATATTCATGTGTTCCAATAATGTTATTAGTAATTGAAAAGAAAGTTCCAAAAACCTTTGTTCCCAAAAAGCTCAAGTTCCTTAATAAAAACTTCCATAATATCAAAAGACCAAGTAATGAATAATGTGGATTGCAAACTTTCATCTCTTATCTAAGTTTCTCAAGTAGTGACAAAGCTTTAATGGAAAAAAGCCGAGTTCTAAATACTTTCTTTGAGATATCCCAATTTAGTGCTCATTTAAATAAAAGATCAATTGTTTAATACTGTAGGTTGTAAAAAAAAAAATTTCTTCTGAAGTTCAAGTGAAGCAAGAAGACTATTCCAATCAGGCAGATATCTTTTGAGAAGAGATTGTTTTTATTTTTGAATTTTTTGGTGAGCCTTGAATTGTCATCTTTCCCCAATCATTTTTCCTCTTTGCTTTTTTTTAACTTAGCAATTCATTGGTTTTTGGACAATCAACAATGATAAACTGTTGACAATGATTCTGATAGATAGAGATTATTACCAATCTATTAGGAGAATGTAATATTGTCCCCAAAATCTGACTTATAGTACTTTTGTATAAAGATGAGTTAGGCACTTTATGAAAGTCTGTAAAATATTATAGATTTATTTCAATTTTTCAATAAAGACAAGTCATTGTATAATAAATAGTTAACAAATTTTTAATAAATGGTTTTAATAAATAATTAATAAATTATTAATAAATTAATATTAAATTTTTATTGGATTACTCATAAATAATTTTATATTAAACTTTTATTGAATTGTTAATAAATTTTTATTAAATAGTTAATAATTTATTTGATAAATTGTTAATAAATTTTTTGATTATTTGTTGTTAAACTTTTAATTAACAAATTTTTGATTAATAAATTTTTGATTGTCAAATTTTTAATTGTTACTTTATTTTCAAAATAGTAATATATTAAATGATAGTAGTCAAAAGGAATTTATCAATATTTTTATTATTAAATTTAATTCAATATAATAATAATTCAACTATTAAATAATATAATTTTGATATAATATTGTTTTATAAATTAAATTTAAAATACTTTATATAAAGTTAAATTAATTGTTTTGTAAAAAATTTATAATTATACTAGATTTTAAATCAATTTTTAAATAAAGACTTGTTGTTATAGTATAAGTATAGATTAAAATCAAATAGTTATATATAATTAAATTTTAAATTATAAAGTTTTTTTTTTAAATTCAACTAATAAATACTATATATTTTTATTGAGAATTGATATAATTCTAATTATATTATCTTGAATACAATATAAATAAATTTACCTATCTATTTTATCTATACTTTAGTATTTAATCAATATGTCAATTTTATCACAAGTGATATCATTTTATTAGTTTGTTCTATTTTTATTAAGTGATATAGTATTCTGAAAATTTGTTATAGAACTTGTCTTATTTTTCAAAAAATTGATTGGATTGTATTTTTTAATTGATGTTTATACTTATTTTAATTTTATATATTCTGTAATAGATTGTACTATATTTAGTCCTCAAAAGATTAATTGTACTTTTGATATATAGTATATATGTTCTATAATTATATTCTGATATTCCAATAATTTAATAATAATATATAATTAAGTAAAATATAGTTTTTTATTATCTTATTTTTAACTATTCTTGTAAGTTGACCTATAAAATTACTTCTATAATTCTCAATATAATACTAATATTAACTATTAGCCTTTATAATAATTGTTTTTTATAGCTATTAGTTTTATAATCAAGATAATCTTTTATTAATTTTATTATAGTCTATTATTTTTTATAGAAGCAAATAAATGAAGTTTCCTTTATTTCTTACAAGATTTAGTTTTGATAAAAAGTAGAATTTTTTCTATATTTGTTAAAGGTTTGAATTAATTAAGATTATTTTTGACTTGTTTTGATATTTTTATATATTCTAAATAGTAAAATGCTATAGGTTTCCTTAGTGTTAAACTGACCAAGACTAAATAATCTCATTTATCAGACTATAGTTGGATAGTAAAATTTTTTTAAGTTAATTTTTTTTTTTTTTTTTTTTTTTTTTTTTAACCTACAATCATGCCATGATGGCTTGTCTTTATTGAAAAATTGAAATAAATCTATAATATTTTATAGACTTTCACAATGTGACCAACTCGTCTTCATACAAAAGTACTCTAAGTTAGATTTTGGAGACAATATTACACTTCTCCAATAGATTAGTAATAACCTCTATTTACCAGAATCATTGAATTTTTTTAAGTTAATTATACCATATATAAAATGTATATACTATATAATTAATAAGTATACAACTTTATATAACATAATCTAAATTACAATACTTTTTTCAAATAGAATTGAACTAATTTTTACAGATAGTAACTTGAAAGTATATTCACTACACTATTGATTTACAGTTATAAAATTATAAAGTATTTATATAACAATATATATACTGTATATAAAAAAACTTTTAATTTCTTTAAATATATTAATTTTTTAATTTTTTTAGTTTTTTAGTATTTTAAAAGAAAACTATTATAATATTTTATAATTATATTTATATAATATATAATTTTTTTAGTTTTAATAATTTTAATAAAATAAATAAATAAATAAATATTTTTTTTTAACCTGCAATCATGCTACGATGACTTGTCTTTATTGAAAAATTAAAGTAAATCTACAATAATTTACAGATTTTCATAAAGTGAGTAACTTGTCTTCATATATAAGTACTCTAAGTCAGATTTTAAATCCAATATTATACTTCCTTAATAGATGGTATTAATCTCTATCTATCAAAATTATTGTTAGCAGTTTATCATTATTAATTGTTCAAAAATCAATAAATTGTTAAGTTAAAAAAAAAGAAAAGAGAAAGGGAAAAATAATTGAGAGAAGGAGACAATTCAAGATTCACCAAAAAAATTCAAAAATAAAAACAATATTTTCTCAAAAGAGATCTGCCTGATTGGAATAGTTTTCTTGTTTTACTTGAATTTGAAAGAAATATTTTTTTTTATCACCTGTAGTATCAGATAAGTCAATTAATTCAATTGATCCTTTATTTAAGTGAGCACTAGATTGGGATATCTCAAGGAAAGTATTTAGACATCAATTTTTTTCCATTAAAGCTTTGTCACCACTTGAGGAATTTAGATAAGAGATGGGAGTTTGTAATCCATATTACCCATCACTTGGTCTTTTGATATCATGGAAGTTTTTATTAAAGGACTTGAGCTTTTGGAGATAAATATTTTCAGAACCTTCTTTCTAATTATCAATGATATCATTGGAACACATAAATATGATCAATAGGTACTTGTTTACATTTTAACAACTAACATATTTTGTATTAGTCAATCACCTTTGATAAGGACTTGTACTATAAAAAATTTAGGATCATATTGAGGTAGGCAAAATTCCTCAGAAAATCATGAAAGTGGAAGCTCTAAGAGGGCCAAGACAGTCAAAAAGGAAGAAAATAAACCTTTTTATTACAAAAAACCTCTACAAACCTCTCACTTCAAAGGTCAGATAAATCTTTAGATACTTCACAGTCAGTTCTTCTTTCTTTGGGAACTTTCTTACCATTGATATCAAAGATGTTACTTGATTTTTTTTGATTACTAGGAGTCAAGTTTTTGAGTAAAAAGGTTTGTAAATAAAAGGAAAAGGATAAAATGACTCTTGAAGTTATACTTCAAGTTGTTTTAAGGAAAGTATTAAGACTTTATTAGTAAAAAAGAATAAAAACTTCTTGCAAACATCTTTTTTGTATATAGTTAGAGAATCAGTAAAAAGGGTTTTTTTATATTTCTAGTAAAATAAATATTTATTTTTCTTTATTAAAAAATATTTTTATATAAATAATTATTTTTAAAGACGAATAAAATTTTTTAATTATAATTGTAATTTTAAATTTTGTATTATATATATATTATTCAAAAATATAAACTGAAAAAATTATATTGGTATTTTAATCATTTTTAATAATAATTGTTCATATATTTTAAAATGATTTTTATATATTAATTTTTTATTTAATAATAGTTCAAAGATTATAGAAAAAGTAATCAAAAATTTATATAATTACAAATAATAAAAAGCAAATTAAATATTTTTTATCATATTAATTATATAATAATAAATTAATTGGTAAATAATAACCAATGTAATATTATAGGTATATTTATTTAAAATCTCAATAAAGGCATATCATAATGGCATAATTATGGATTAAAAAAATATGTACAATATATATATTGACTTTAAATATTATTATATTATTATATATAGTATAAGTTGTATAATTTGTAAAGAAATAACCATGAATTTAAAAATTATTGAATTTTATATGAATTTCTGTATACTAAAAATACTATTTTTAATAGAAAAATTTTAATCAATAAACACCGAGACTACTATCTATTGCTAAAATCAAAAAAAAAATTTTTAAAATCTTTATTTTTACTTACTGAAAATAAGGCATGACAATTTATCAAAAAATAGGCTTAAAAGTTTATTAATTTAATTAATATTTAACTATTTCCGAAATTTAATCTTTTACATCACTTGTTTGAAATGGAACATTTAAAGGATCAATGATGCCGCCCATTTTCGTAACAACTCTAGGCATAATCATTTTTTGGAATATTTCCCGCGTATTCCATTCCTCGCCTAATGGAGTACGTAAACTTCGTTCATACTGTTCTCTAGTTTGGAACGGATAGGGAATATCGGTTGCTAGATATTTTTTGGCCTAGAATTGAATAAATTAATTTTGATGTCATAAAAGATAAGCGACAAAAAAGATAAATGATATATATTTTCTAAGCTCAAAATACCTTTTTTATTCTTTTCTCATTGATTATTACATGGTTAAGCTTTGCATCTTGTCGCTTATTAACTTCTACACCTTCGCCGGGTAATGGTTTGACCAAGACTTTTTTACGTTTATGTTGTTTTACTCCTTTGCCAACCCATGTTCCCTGGGAGAATCGAAAATCTTTCAATATGTATGCAACGTTCGTATATTAGTTGAAAGTATACGTACCCATCCAGGTAATGTAATATCTTCTTCCTTAGGTTTATCTTCATCGATCGCGGCTTGTTTTTCCGCTAAAAAGTCCTAAATTAAATAAAGAAATAGTTGAATAAACCAGGCTTTTAATTTAAACTTGTACAAAAAAAAAAAATAATAATAATACCAACATCGATAACATTATCGTTTGCAAATGCGCGAGCAACCAGTTCTCTTTGCTTAAACGCCATAGAACTCTTTGAGTGCACAAAGTTTTCCATTTCTTCGACATGGGGGTTTTCCTCATCATCGGATCCTACACTTTCATCAATTACATCACTATGAATTTTTTCGGATTGTAACACTCCTTCCTCCTTTTTTTTCTTTTTACGACCTTAGGACGAATTAACAAGTAAATATATGTATGTTATATGTATGAAAGAATTATAGACTTATTTCTATATCGAAACGAGGCGCACCAATTATTTTAACAGTGGAATTTATCGTTAGCACTTTGTCCATGTCAATTTCCACATCGTCGTCCTTTTTGCTTTTTTCTTTTAACTTCTTCAATTTCGAAACTAGTTTATCAGATTTGTTGCTTTCTTTCAGGTCAAACCCTTTATTTTTTTTTTTACTTGGAGTCGATACTCTGGAAGAGTCAACTTGAAGCCAAGGATTTTCTTCATCGGAATTATCCTTCTGTAGAACATTAGTTTCGCCCTGTGACTTTATTTGTTGCTCTGATACATTGTTTGATTCAGCGGATGTCGTTACTTGTCCATTTTCTCTGTCACTCTTTGGATCAAAAGTAGATTTTGGCAACTATCGTAAAATCGAGTCAATAAGTCAATCACTGTTATAGAAAAGTGTTACAGTATAGTACGCAAAGAATAATCACCGTTCTTATTTTTGCCTCCTGTTCAAACGACACTTGTTCATTGAATTGTTCTTCGGAATTTTTGTTTAATGATTTTTTCTATATGATGTTTCGTTAGTATTATGTTTGTAATGGTTATAAAAAAGAATTCAAATTATAATTTAAAAACCACCTCGGAACCGATTCCAAATATCATTCTTCCGATGTTGTTACCAACGTGAACTACAGAATATTTTTTTGTATCCTTTTCATTTTTTTCATCATTTTTTTCACTATCATCTTCATTGCTGAGATTTTCAAGATCCTCGGTAAAATCATCTATTAAACCTTTAGTCTTATTTCGATCTCTCTCCATGGCATCCCGCATGAACTTCATGCCCATAATGCCTTTAGGATGTACTTCACTGTCTTTCGTCTCGAGTTGTGCCAACTCACCAAATGCCTTATCTTTAATAGCATTTATATCTACCTCTTGATCAATACATTCATCTGATGACGTTTCATAAGACTCTTCATCGGAACCAAGATCGTGAATTTTACGTTTCAGCTCCTCATGTCTCTGTAATTGTTCGGCAATTGCTTGTCGGCTTTCTTGATCGTGATTACTGTGCTTAAGTGCCTGCTTGGCCCATTTACTGGTGTTCTTGTGTTTCAAAGTCATACGTTCTTGTGCTCGAGATGTTTCCAATCTTATTTTTTCTTTTCTAGCAGCTTCTGGATCAAGTTCAATCAATTCATCAAGTTTTAATTTATTCTTTTCTTTCTCCTTCTTTCTAATCTTTCGATAAGTTTTACTCTTGATTTTTGCGATTCGTTTGGCTTTAATTTCCTCACGAAACATCAATTCACGCATTCTTCGAAGTTCTTTGCGACGTTCTGCTACTTCTTCGACAGATAACTTGTTTAGCTGAAGCTCTTCGTACTGTTGAAGATCCTTCTCTTTGATGCCACTTTCTATCAGTATGGAATCTACTTCTTTTTCAAGAGTCGTTGAGGGCTTTCCATAAAATTAAAAATAATACATTAAATACAGGTATGAAAAAATTTGATAATTGAATATGATATTTGAGTTATACATACTTGGAAGGTACCAGCTAGGGTGTTATTAGTCGGTTGATGTTGAGGATTTGGATTCAGCGGAAACACCAAATGTTCAGCTTCACGATTATGCTTAACAATTGGTTCCCATTTGGATATATCTTTCTTAGTTTCATCATAGGCTGCTTGCCTGTTCAACTTGTTTAAAGTTCGTTGAGGCAAAGGAGCTGATAGTGGTTCTTTATAATTTCCTTTGTTACCACCACTTTCGAGCGATGCCAATTTTTGTTTTAATCCACTAAATCCCGTTTCTTCTTGAACTGTGACTAAAAGATCCTGGAAATCAATTTTCTTCTTACTATTTATTGACTCTCGAGTCGTCAGGTTATATTCGGACTCTTCGTATGCTTCTGTTCGTTCTTTGATTAGCCTTTTACGTTTCTCTATAGAGCCTGTATGATCAATACGTTTTCTTTTCTTGTCTAACGACTCTATGAAAGAATCCAACTTTTCCACTTTAGACTCATCATCATTAAATTCTCGTTCTTCATCAACGCTCTCATCATCTTCGGCTAAATCCATAGTTTCCTCGTCTGATTCATCACCAAAAATGTTAACATTCATTTCCCGACCAACATCAATCAGATCGAAAAAGTTCTCGTCCAGACTTGTGGCCTCATTATCTTCGTCGTCAAAGCGAACAACCCTACGCCTCTCTTTAACTCCTTCATCTGGGATAACATCATTTTCTCTTTCTTCATTAATATCATTATCACTTGAGTTTTCTGTATCTTCAGATTCATCATCTGTTGAATTCTCGTAGTTATCTTCTTCATTTAAATCAATTTTGCGATTTAATCTCTGCCTTTTATCCTAAATAAATTTCAAAAGCTTATGAAAATAGCTGAATATAAACAAAACAAATCCTTTGTAAAAACAGTTACATACAGCTTTCTTGTTGGTGCCTCTAAAAATGAAATGATCAAATCTCTCTTCATCTGATTTGTTAAACGCCTCGTCACTATCAATTTCTTCGTCGTCCTCCACGTCGATCTTTTCCTCTCCATTATACTCATAACTTTCCAATTCATCGATATTTTTGCGGCGTCTTTCTTCTTTGAACTCTCCATCCTGATCAATTTCAAAAACATCCTGGGCGGAAAAGTCATCAGTATCTTCATACTCGATACTTAGTTCATTAATTCGAGATTTCGACTTTGTACGTGAACTGCCGTTGTTAGCGCCAATATTCTTCCAAATCTTCTTGGATTTTAACTTTTTGCCTCTGATATGACTGCCACTGATACCTTTCTTAGTCGACTTGAAGTTTTTTCCCATTTTACAATTCTCGGGAGAGAATAAAATCAGATTTTTTTTTTTTTTGCGATCAGTTTGATATGTTACACGCATTGCCATATATATACAGTGCTTTGAAAAAAAAATTTGGAATTTTTATTAATAAAAATATATTTTAACACAAAAATTATCTTCAAAATTTCATTATTAAAATTTTTTATAATTTCAAATTTATCTAGTAATAAAAAAAAATTTTTTTTTACTTTGAGTTAAATAATTAGAAAATGACAATAAAATTTGAATATTAAAAGTTTTGAATCAATAATAAATATTTAATTTTAAATTTAAAAATAAATTAAGCTATTTTAAAAATAATATTTGAATAGTGGGATTATAGATTTAAATAATAATACTTATTATTTATTGAAAAATAATTTTAAGAAAGAAGAAATTATTGAAAATATTGATAAAATATTAAAAGATAAAAATATTTCTAATTATAATAATAGTTATTTTATTCTTGGTATAGAAGAAATTATTGATTTAAATAATAAAATATTATAAAAAATTTTTTTATTATTATAAAAAAAGAAAAAATTGATAAAAAAAATAATAAAAACAAGAAAAGTTAAAAAAATTATAATCTAGTAGATTTAATTAAAAATATTATTAATTTAGAATATGAATTTTTTAATATTTAGATTTTTAAAAGAATTTTTCTTTCATATTATAAAATCAAATATTTAATTTCTAATTGATTGTTATGTTCATGTTTTTTTTTGTTTTTTTTAACTTTAAATTGTGTAATCATTATATAAATTTTAGGATTTTTTTAAAAAATTTTTAAATTTTCTTTTTATAAATAATAAAAAATTATAAAAAGAACTAAAGTTTTATAAGTAATAATGGGAATAAAAAGAGTGAAATTATTTTCTAAAAAAAAATTAATAATTTTTTCAAGGTTTTTTTTTAAAAAATTTAAAGAGATTTTTTTATAATTATAATTTTTTTAAAAATTTAAAGAATAATAAGAAAAAATATAGATTTATATAAAATTCTTTAATAAAAAAAATAAAATTTAAAATATAATTAATATATTATATATTGCTCTAAAGCTATGAGATTAACATTTTGTATAATATAAAATAAAATTATAAAATTAATTATTTTTAACAATTAAAAAATAAATATTATTAATTTTTGAAAAATCCAAATTTAAAATATATTTTTAATATTAATAGTAAATGTTTTATATATTAAGTTATATATAGATTCTTAATATTATTTTAAATATTAACTTAAAAATATTAATAAAAAAAACCAAATTTAATAAAAATTATTAAATAATTTAAGTTTAATTTAATTTATTTAAAAATTAATTTTAATACAAATAAAAATCATTTATTTATTAATATTTTAATTTTATTTATTTATTATTATTATTATTTTTTATTAATATACAATCATATTATAATAGCTCGTCTTTATTTAAAAATAAAAAAAAAAATCTATAATAAATTATAAACTTTTATAAATTAATTATCTCAGTTTTATATATAAGTATTATAAATCAAATTTTGGGAACAATATTATATTTCTCTAATATAATTAGATTAACTATTGTCTATTATAATTATTATTAATAATTTATTAATATTGATTAATTTAAAAATCAATAAATAGATAAATAGTTAAGTTAGTGAAAAAGAAGAAAAATAATTATAGAAAAGAGACAATTTAAGATTTATTAAAAAAAGTTTAAAAATAAAATTAATCTTTTAAAAAAATTTTTTTTTCTTTATTTTAACTATAACTAATATTAGATATAAGCTTTTTATTAAAAATTAATTTAACATTTGATAGAAACGAATCAATTAATATAATATCAATTATCTTATATATATATATATGCAGATTAATGATAGCCTATTACGATTTGTCCTAGTTAAACCTATTATCACTTCATAAGTGGGCACATTATACTAGTGGTCAAATAAGAATATATAGTTATCAATAACAATACTAGGCTAGTTAGTATTAAGCTACAATTATTAAAAATAAAAATAATTTTTTCTTAAAAGTGATTTATTTAATTAAAATAATTTTTTATTTCATTTTAATTTTAAAAAAAAATTTTTTTATTATCATTTATAATATCAAATAAGTCAATCTAATTAATTCATTATTTAAGCAAGTATTAGATTAAGATATTTTAAAAAAAATATTTAAACCTTAGCTTTTATTTATTAAAACTTTATTATTACTTAAAGCTTTAATAAAAAACAAGAGTTGGCAATTAATATTACTTATTATATGATTTTTTTTATATTATAAATGTTTTTATTAAAAGATTTAAGTTTTTAGGAAGTAATAGTTTAAGATATCTCAATATGATGCTTCATTTAATTGAAAATTAGTCAATAAAGATTACCTGATATTATAGGTGATAATAAAGAAGATAATGTGACGTCTTTTGAGATCTGAGCAAATAATATCTAGGAGTATTAGAGGATATATAATAATATTAAATATATATAAAAAAGAACTATAGTTAGTATTTATAATTAATTGTAACTTAATATTAACTAGTCTAGTATCATTGTTGATAATTATGTATTAACCATTCAGTCTCTAGTTAGGTATGTTCATTCACAAAGTGGTAATAGGTCTAACTAGGAAATACTATAATAGATTATCATTAATTTATATATATATATAAATATATAGCTTGTACAAAATAATTGATATCATATTTCCCGTAACTAACCAGATCCTTAAAAATTTCCTTTTTTGGAAACTTTTAAAGACAAAAGGTAAAGAAAGATGACAAGTCACAACAGAAGTCTCAGAGCTTCCAACAACCCTCCCACAATTACAGAGCGCACCTTGAGATATGATAAAAGAGTCGGCAAAGAACTGAGCCTAACCAGAACCCAACCATATGCAAAGAAACCCACCACAATAGCAGCCAAGAAACCCACACAATCAATGGCAACTACTATCTCCAACAACGACTATCAACTCAACAACAACACAACCAATACAACCACATAACAAGAAACAATGCAACAAGAAAATTAACAACATGAAACAGAACTTCCATCTCAACAAAGTCAGGAATCAGAAGCATCAATCTCCTCATGGAGTGACATAGTAGAAATATAACTTAACACAACTATTGAACAGAGTGAGCAATAAGAAAAACATTACAGAAGAATCACCACCCAGAAACCACAAATAGCTTGAAACAATAGTCCAGATGAAGAAATGGAAACCGAGGAGAAAAACAACTCAGAACAAAAATGGTTCACCATTTCCAAAGGCAAAAACAGAGAAATCTACAACCCCCAAGGCAAACCAAGACCTAAATTATTATTCGACAGAACAATCTGATACGGACGAGAATGATACAAGGTTGGCATCTCAGAAAAACTAATCAAAGGGAAAACCACACACCAAAAACTGGAACATATCATTCTAGTCCTCAAATCCCCTGAAAGACTTCTGACAGTACTCAATGAAGGAAAAAAAGAAGACATGCAAATCATACCATATTTGTAGATCAACATACAGCGGAACATGCAACAACCATAGAGCTTCCAGAAATGGATAATAACAGGCTTACACACATGGAAACTGGCCACCAACAAATCAATAAAGGAAACTCCATTGTAGTATGAGACATCCCCTTGAACACAAGACTCATAGAAGTCAAACAAGCCTTTGCCAAACATGGTCAAATCCAAGGCATCACTATGAAAACCCAAAACTTGTGGCAATGTGCCACAATCACTTTCAAAGATCAAGAACCCAAACACAAGCTAGTAGATGCCAGAAGCATCCTAATCAAAGGAGATTCAGTGAGAATCAACGACGCAGAATGAACACTTCAACAAATGAAACAAAGACATGAGATTGCCGCTAAACTAACAAACCTTCCTTGCAACACATCAGCATGGGATATAAAAAATATCCTCACACAATGCAAGGGACGTACATATTATATCCCAAGGGCAGCAAACAGGGGTAATAAACCTAAAAGATTTGCAGTCGTTAGCTTCAAAACACAAGAAGATCTTTTAGCAGTAGCACAAACACAATACCAACAAGGAGAAACAACTCTCTCATTCACTCCAATCTCAACAAAATTATGTCAATATGTGACGCATCCTCTCACCTAGCCAAAAACTGCTTCACCAAAGAAAGACGCCTCCAATGGGACACCTACAACAAAAACCAGGCAACTAAATTCGGAGACCTTTACAACAAATTCAGATAAAAAAAAACTTCATCAATTTGCAACATCAATAAACCAAGAACACCCAAAACATAAAAAGCAGGAATATATGCAATAGCAGTTTTCCGAACAACCAAACCAAAACAGGAGAACCCAACAACCCTCAAAGACATAAAGTAACATGCTCAGAGAAATTCAACAACAACTGAATACTATCAAACATCAAGTGGCAGATCTGGATGAGCATATCACCAACCTAGAATACTATGATGAAGAATACTATGAATCAATGGATAGTAAACAAACACTAGTATCGCAAGACTCAACACCCATATCACAACCCAAAAGCACACAATCCACATCAGAAGATAGCTTCAAAGACCTCAGAAATACACAAACACAACTCTTCTCCTCCATCGATGGGATGCAAGACAAAATGAACCAAATCTTTACCACAATAAATGCATTAGCTCAGACCTCAACCAAGACCACTGACAACCAATAACTATGGGAAACACACACAGCAACTCCAATAATAACATTGAATATGCAAATACAAATACAACACATAACAATCAAACTAACAACCCCAACAACCCTTCACTTAGAACACAACAACTCATAACAAAATTATCATGGTCAGACACTAACTCTACAATAGACAAAAATACTGATACACTATCACCAAAACTCCACGATAATCCCAAACTCCCACAAGGAAAACTAGCAACATCAACAAACAATACTAACACACCATATAAACAACATCACGAACACATCCCAAATTATCAAATCATAAGACAAA